AAGGGTTGTTTAGAACATTTATTAGTTCAAACACAAACAGCGGTTTATAAAATGTAATATTACAATTGTGTTTCTGTTAGGTTAAAAGGTTTTACACATACGAAAAAAACAATTTAAAAGTTGGAAAATGTGATATATTAAGAAATGATTTTCAACATTCTTAGACCATTACACAGACATACGACAGACGACACTAGCGCTCTTTCGTGTCGGAGGCAAAGATCCACTTCGGGTCAATGCGCCAACGCAGTAAGTAAGTAGACCATTGTAATGCTCTAAGAATATTTAAAACATTGTTATATTTTCTATCATTTCACTCAGACGGAGCTTGGATTGATTACTAGAAACATTGGATAAAATGGCGAAAAGACCTTGATAAGGCCACACAAGACATACATTTAAGAAAAGTCTAGGTAAGTCGAATAGTATCCTTCTAGTTCCATAAATACTCGTAACGTTTTTTACTCGCCGCCTCTTAATTGAAGAATCAGTCATTCGGAAACCAGACGAAGGAAGACAAGAATAAGGAATTAAATTGGACGCAACGAATAGTGCTTGCTCGCCGATTGTAATTACGTGGAGACGAGGGAATTGCTCTCAGCAGGATTAACATTTAGATTCTCTTTCCGAACAGAAACCCACTTATGTGATTCATTCATTGCTGTTTTATAAAACTAAGCTTTGTGTTCTTTTCTTGAGTTTATTCAATTCTTAAATTACCTTGAAATATTTATAAAATTAAATGCTATCATTAATTTTTCTCATAACTCATGACTGATAATGTTTTAGACCTTAAGAGCTTGCGCACCCATGAAACTAACCTATCGTATAACTGTTTAGTCTCGCTTTGATTCCTAGCTTATATTGAAATGCAGATACTACTCGATTTTTAATTGTGCAACTAAACAGTTAAATTGGCTGCAAAACAATAGTTGTTCGATAGTTTAGTTTCAGGTCTTACACGCACTCACTTCGTTTGCACAGCCCTAGATCTTTGGGTCTTGACATCCTATACAAGATAAACAGCGTCATCTATCCTATGCCATCTCCAGCTAGTTGACTGCTTGGATGTTACAGGTTAACTTCCCTTGTAAATATATCAAGAAAAAAACTCACAATACCAATATAATCATTCGACGTAACGGCTCGTGCCAAGATTCCTGAGGGAGCCCTCGAGCTTAGTTACTCATAAACGAGGTTTAGGCTAAGCGCCATCTGCGCTCGGACACCACAAGTCCAGTGAATCTGTAAATGCCTCTTCAAGGCAAACACTGGCCATTCAGTCACAAAAAAATATAATTATTGAACAATGTCGCTGGCACAAAATAGTGTATGACTTCCAAGAAATTTATCATTTAATAGACTGCTTTATTGACTGAAGCAACAAAACGCAGCGAAGTGGAGTTATTTTATACGATCCATAAACAACGACGTAAATATTTACATCGGTGTTATCAACTGATTCTCTTATACTAGTAGTAAAGCCTGTCTAGCATTGCATGGGTGTCTGAGTTTGTGTCGGAGAATTTAATTCACTACCCACTTAAGATCGGGAATATACTTATGTATTATACGGAAACAAAACCTGATACCACTTTAATCACGTGAGAGTAATTGTGTACAATGTATAACAAAATGCTTAGGGAATAAGCGTCCTTGATGCTGCATTTTTTGGAACTTGAACACCTAAAAAGATCGTGATTGTACATTTTAATGTTTTTAAGAATAACGCCATCTATCGGTTGAAGCTCTGTAAAAATATTTTGTGTTTTTTACTGTGCACGTTCAAACCAACAGTACACTACGTTTTGTTATGTGTATAGTGAATATGTTCCTACACTTTATTGAGTACAGTAGCTAGTGGCTATAAAGATAAAGTTTATTATCTCTCTGAGACGTATTTATGTCTGTGGTCGCTTAAATCTCATTTCATTGTCTACTTCCAACTAAAATAATAGACGCTAAAATTTGTGAAAATGAAACAAAACAAACAGTTTTCACAATATTATTCATTCAAAATGGGCTGTTTATTATAAATCTATATCTATACTATTATAATAAAGCGTAAACACACACTTCTTTGTTACCTAAGATGTCAGCTATCACAGCATATTTTCGAATAATTATTTTTTTAATAAAAAGCCCTACACTTACGTCACGCTTTAGGCTATATATTTTCACGCCGTTAAACTTAGGGGTAAATATTTTGGATAAAAACCCTAATGTGGAAAGAAACCATAAGTTGCTGTCAACATCAAGGATGTAAGGTTGCTATGCTTTGTCATCGTCATGTCATTTTGACATTTGCAATTGATAATTTGACAAATGTGAACAATGAAATGAAATTTTTATATTTCATGCGGATGAAGTCGAACAGGAACAGCTAGTTTGATATAAAAGTAAATGTTGTTTATACAAGATGTTCTAGTTCTTTCATAGAACCTTATTTCGGGCAAAGAGATTCAAATATATAGAGGAGGTATAGATGACAATTTACTTGAAACCTTTTTACACATAAACGTCCCTATATCTGTCTATTGATAGATTCTCAAAACCACACGTCAATATAGTTAGTTGCCAATAGGTGCCATTAAATAATATTTAAATAAAATAATTGTGTAGTTATGTTTTATTTTGTGACACCGTTTAGTTTACTTTATAACAAAAATACAGATGTAGAATGATTCATTCCATGTCAATGAAAGGATACGAGGTGGCACTAAGCTTGAGAACTGATACAGTACCTTTCAGAGTAAGTACCAGTGAAAATATGTTCATTGCCTCGTCTATACATTATTTAAATGTCTATGTGTACAGGACTGCACCGGACTGCATACCAAAGTTAGAAATTGTAATTATCGTAAAATCGCTTTAAAAGTTATACGTACAAAGTGCAGTTTTCCATATCAGTTAACATTATAAAAACTTGATTAATCCCGGTTTAATTTTCCCCAGCGTTTCTTGCACATCCCCGGCTTCAAAAGAGTTATACTCCAGGTTTTATCGTCAGAATGAATCGAGGGGAGGTCTTAATTAAAATCTAGTTTAGTTTCAGTTAGTTCTGCTGTTAGCTAATAAAATATGTAACGAATTCATAATTAGCCGTGGATAACTAAGGTCGTATAAAACCTTGTTGACTTTTACATAAATCTTAATAATATGCGAATGTTTATATAGACGGATATTTGATAAAGTTTGCTGCAAAAACGGCTGAACATAATATTTAAATAAATATGCGTTGTCTAGCTTTAATTGGAGCAAGCATAGATAGAAGACATTTCCTCTTCATATGCTACCCCTCAGTCAAATCCTTCCCCTTCCCATACTTTATAAAAAAGGGTTGAAACAGAAAGACAACTAATACCTTCGACACGAAATAGATACTACAATATTACTACAAATTAAAGTTAGATATACAAGAATGTTTTGCAATAAAAGGTAACACTAATATGGAAATATTCCCCTGTGAGCGTTTACTATAAAAGAGGTTTCACACACTAAGTTAAAAGTTAGTAACAAGTAATATTCTGGTATTTTTATGAGAGAAAAGAGCAATATAGAGCAGTAGTGTCTCTTGACTCTACTTGTCTTTTTATGTCGCAACTCACTCGGAATCGCTCGAGCGCGTTGTAAGTACGCCAAGATTCTCTCAAACTAGGCCTGTCAAATAGTTATTTTTATGCCCGGCTTGTTTATTATGTAACTTCAAATAGACACATATTATAGTTTGTATAATTAAGATAGTGTAGTTTGATAAATAACGCATATGAAGTATAGATTTAAATTTGTATGAAAGCAAATGCCGTACTTAATAGACAGATATCGTAATGATTATGTATTTATTCATAAGTTATAATTATTAATCTATCGATTCCAACTTCAAATATAAAAATCGAAAATCGATAAGATTCATGGCTGATTTTACACAACTACCATCCCTACTAAATCTTCGCACGAATGGGCCGGCTCGCCCGGTGTAATACCACGACCACAGAAAATAGGCGTGACGTGGAAGCAATTCTGCGTTTCGTCTTATGAGTGTGGTGCCGGAAGCCTAATTTTAGTCCCTTTCCCTTTCCGCTCTTTTCTTAAGAGGAAAGAATGGGAAGGAAAAGTGGATTCGACTGTGGTGAAGACGCATAGGAAGGGGAATATAGTAAATACACACTTCTTTGTTGTCTAAGATGTCAGCAATTACAGCATATTTTTGGCTAATTCTTCTTTTTATAAAAAGACTTACGTCAGGCTATATATTTTCACGCCATTAAACTTAGGGGGTAAATATTTAGGATAAAAACCCTAATGTGGGAAAGAGACCATAAGTTGCTGCCAACATCAAGGAAGCAAGAAATGTCATGTCTTTTGTCATTTTTTATTGATAATTTGACAAACGTAAACAATTTTCTTAATTTCATGTGGATGAAGTGGCACGGGAACAGCTAGTTTTTACCTAAAACTTCAAGGAACCATTTTTTTTAATATATCACGTATAGATAAATTCAGCGCATTATTGGTCTCGATCACATCTTTAAGTGGCCCAGACGTGCGCTATTGTAGTTTTCCTTGGAATCTATATGAAGAGACTTTTCGAGAGTCCCTTATCTTTAACATGCTACTATATTGTATTTTATAATAAACAGAAGGAACCAGTAGACTAGTAATAATTCTGATTTCATTCAAAATTCGTATCCAAAGGAAGCAATTTTAAAATATACTATCTTTCGCCCTCGACTTTGGCCGAAATAGAAATATAGCCTATATTACTCACCGATAAATTACCTTTCTAACGGTGAAAGAATTTTTAAAATAGGCTCATAGTTTTTGAGTTACTACGATACATACAAAAATACAAATCTTTCCTCTTTATAACATTAGTATAGAAGTATAGATATAGATGAACAGCGCTATAAACAGTTTATCTAACTGATAACTTATCGATCTCTTAATATTTAAAATCAATTTATGTAAAGTATAGCCACTGTATGACTGTCTGTTAAATAATGAAATTATTTTACATTTTCTTACTATTTACTTACTTTCTCAATGTGGAAGGGATTAAATTTACAAGATGCAAATTAGCAACAGCCTTACAAAGGACAAAATTAATAGAGAAGACATTCCTTGGTAACTGTAAGTACAAATGTTCCCTTTTTATTTATTTAAATACAATCACGACATGTACATTATACTTGTATTTATTTAATTTATAGTTTTTGGTTTGTATAATAACTAGCTTTCGCCCGCGACTCCGTCCGCGCGGAATTAAAAAACAAAAGTGAGTAGCCCATGTGTTCTTCCAGACTATTCTTTACATCTATGTTAAATTACATCGAGATCTGTTCAGCCGTTTGGGCTACAAACTCTAACAAACATCTATCCACCCATCCATCTAAACTTTCACATTTATAACATTAGTAAGATAAGAAATATTCATATGATTAATAGTTTTTTCATAAAGAATGTGAGAAATTATGTTCTAACTAGCTTATGCCCACGTCTCCGTCCGTTTTATAAATACAAGAGTGAGCATTTGTACTCTTCCAAAACTTCGTCAAATTGCATCGCGATTCCCTTTTTTGACCGACCTCCCAAAAGACGAAGGTACTCAATTCGTCTGTATGTTTATGTCTGTATGTTGTGTGTTATTCTATTAAATGCAGGCAGCATCTGGCCGCTTAGTTAACACTTGATATAAAAAAAAAAAACTGAATCTAAAACTATGCTAAAATATTCCTTTACATTTATAAACGTGTTAAACTTGATAATACAGAACCTGTTTCTTATTTATCAGTTATTTTATCCTCGTAACTGTATTGTTTGTACC